AAGATGTATGCTGTAAACCAAGCTGAGGAGATAGACAGAGTGCAAGCCCTTGCTAAAGGATACAGTCAGTGTCGCGTTTGCAAACCGTGAAGAGCAGAGTTGGCTGCGGGGAGAAGGGAACAGTTGAACATGTTCCTTTTGAGGATATAAGCGGCAGCTGGGCACATGTGTAAGTACGTGGGTTCTTAGCACTCGCGATGTGTACATACTGCCCAGGGTGCTGCGTGCGAAAAGGGTGAGTGAGAGATGTGAGTTCCGCAACGCAGAGCATGTGGTGTTTAAAGTGCATGAGTTTTTGGTGAATGTTGTAACGTGTCACTACGAGCCGTAATGGCATCAGATCCGTTGGAATGATTCCAATGGTAGTTGAATGGTGGCGTTTGTGCTTTGCAAGCTGTTGTGAAAGTCTGGAGCACGAAGCTGTGGATAGAAAGTTCCGCATCCGTTGAAACATCCTGCGGAACTTTAGGCGGGGTGCTTAAGTTTTCGTGCACACGTGCTACCCATGAAACCTGATTTTACCTTTGTTTGGTTTTACTTGCGTGAGCCACCATGTACAGATTTTCATGAGCCCAATGAGAGCTTCACTCCGCAGGCGTGTTGATGGAAGCAAAAGTTCTTTTGCTTGCTACTGCTGAGCTTTCGTGCCAGGTAGTCAAATTCTTTGCATGTTTTTCACTTCCATGAGGTAGATAGGCTTCGGAGACGTTGATGCGCACTCAAAGAAAAATAAACAAGCCGACGTAATTTTTCTGCGGTTGAAGCTGGTGAAGAGTCGCACTCGAGGGGCAAAGATGCAAAGCGTCCGTCTCGATGTGCCTGACGTAGTGCATTGGCTAAAGAAGTGTTTTGCAGTCATGCAGCCAGAAGAGCAAATTTGGCCTTTCTCCTCAGCGACTCTGCGGAGGCGCTTACAGCAGATACTACAATGTGCCTTCCTTCCTCTCTCAGACCTGGAGGACGACTTGCCTAGACTTCAGTGGCGGGGACGCTGGCTTCATTCTAAGACTTTGGCCCATTACACACAAGAGGTTGGGTGCATCAATGTACTGGAATCAGTGACCCAAGCTTTCCGCTTAAAAGTCCAATGCTTGGCAGGCTTAGCTGAAGCGGCTTGCAATGGTTGCAGACCTCGCTAGTACGGTCCAAGAGCCTTTAAACCTCGTGCAGAAGCAGCAGGAAGTTCAACATACGCATCCTACTGTGTAGGCCCGCCCCCGACCCGATTGTAAAGCTTGGTGACGGGGACGACATATGTCCTGCTAGTGCTGTGAAGACATGTGAATTTCCTGCATGAGCTGTGCAAACAAGGTGGTTGCAGCTACGGGAGCGTAATGCGCAAGCATGTTTCGTGATGCTTTTAAGTGGAGAGACCTTGCTGCAGCCTTCTGCCGTTCGCCACCACCGCCGGCATGCTGAAACAACTGCAGGTGATTGACTGCAAATCTCTCTATGACGGGGTCATGTGTGACAACCCGAGCACGGAAGAAAAACGAACCAGGATCTCCATAAGGTCAATCCAAGACTTCGTGGACCCTCAAAGTGTTCATTGGGTCCCAACGCATCTCCTGCATGCAGACGGATTGACAAAGGTGTGCAGACTCCCCAGAGATACTCTTCGCAAGTGGTTGCAGAACTCAAAAGTACAGCTAAGTGAGCATGATCACCGAAAAGAAAAACGTTACCAGTGTGAATTACAGGCTTTTGATCAGTGAGCATTCGGTGATCAGGAACTCACATGCATGACTGACTGCGGCCGTTCAGCGAATCCCTTGTGAGCTGTAGAGAGCCATCCAGCGCCTGCATACTCGGGTACCGGCGCACATCCCCTGCATGGTCCGTTGCAGGCATCAAATCACTTGGCTGCTGCCAGGTTTGGGTTTGGTCGCAGCATCCTTGCTAACGTGGTCCGTGCAGTCTGCCCTCAGCTATCCGTCCGGGCATTCCGCCTGAGCATTATTTGGCGTGAGCTCCTTCCAGAGTTCGCTCCCCTATCCTGCACTTCATGCGCCCTGGCAATAAGATGCGCGCTTGCTCAATCCAATCTGGACTCGCAAGAAGATTATGTCCTGTTCCACGTGCCTGCCAGCTGCCTCCGCCGAAGACTGGACTGACCTTGCGTGGGCTCAACCTTGGCCTCCTGCCTGCAAGCCCCGCTCCGCCAGTCTATTAATTAGGACGTTGCCAAGCACGCATCATCCTATGGGTTGTGCCATGCCTTTTACACAAACCTGCAGCATGTCTCTTACTGCTGGTGATGTGGAGCAGCTGTCCTCCCTTTTTTCACTTGCGGGTTACTCTCATGCCGCTGGTGTCAATTGCCTGGCCAAGCTGTGTGCCCATCTTGCAGCTGCAGCACCACCGCAGCTTACTGAGTGCCAGGGCGCCAACATGGCAAACACATGCCCAGCTGCCATTTGTCCAGATGGCTGATGGCCCCGGCATTGGCTTATAGAGCCCTCTCTGCTACCGGCCTACTTAAAAGAAAAAATGACTGGAGTTGGGGGATGATTCGAGTGCCTGGAGCCTGGCTTGTCTGATACTTCATGGAGGTCATCTCGAGGATCCTACGAAGTCATGGGAGGTTTCAAGGCTCGTCAATCCCCGGGAAAACAAAACCTACCCAACACATCTTTTCACTCTGTGCTTCATCCCTGAGCCCACAATATCGTTTGCATAGTTTATGTTCCTGCACCGTGTCAAGTGCGTGTCATCCCTTGCAGGCGCCATGCTAATCTTCCTTCATGCAAGCAACAGGTTGAATCTTGATACGCCCAATTCCCGAAGTACCTGTGTTTCTCCATGAGCTTTCCGTCAGGTCCCTGACAGGCAAAGTTTCTCGGGACCCTGACTTCGCCAAGAAGCTTTTCCTGACATCTCTTACAGGCATCTTCGACCGAACTTTGTCTTGGAGAGGCCTTGTCATTGCGTGCAGGGGGCGATTGTATTGCCGCACCATCACGAGTATTGCCAGACCGCGGCTCAGTTGTAGTTCGCCGCAGTTAGCAGAGCTGAGGCTGCGATTCAGCAGGCAGAGATACCGCTCTCGGCATATAGCAGAGTCGTGCACAACAAACAGGTCTTAGCTACTCAGGTGTTTCTTTGGGGTCCTAGCCGAATCCATGAAGCTTTCCTTTAGACTTGGACCTTCAAACAGGTTTGCTGCCCGTTGAATGTACATTCCATGGAAACATCAAAGCTGCCTCAGGTGGCTTGTTGCTCGGCCGACCACTTGGAGGAAACTCGCAGGCAGCTATGCGCAGCTGCTTGTGGCCTGAACGCCGCCACATCCTGAAATCTACTTTCACTTCTAGCGTCTTCTGCCAGAGGCGCTAACACTCAGCTGCAAGTGAAATGCAGCTGCAGCGTACAAGGTTCCATGCGAGCCAGATGAAGCAGTTGGTTCATCGCAACCATTTTCACGGCAAGTCCGAAGGTTGGAATGTGTGGGCGCGAGTAGCTGTTCCTGATGTGAGCGTCAGGCGTCTGCTGTTCAAGCAAAGCATTGCATTGCCACCAAGCCCAAGCTGCGCCAGAGACCTGCGATCTCAATTTGTTTCAGGTCTATCAGTGCTGCTCATGACGCGATGCGAGGTAATTGGGCCACTCAACATGGACCTTGCAGCTTGCATCTGCAGCTTCGTTGAGGTTCACACGAAGGCCGGCGTAAGTAGGTTTCTGCAGCCTGTGAGTCTAGTCTGGTGCTTTTGTCGGTTGCGCAGGCTTGTAACTTGTATCCGTGGAGACAAATTGGAGGGTTGCAAACCTGGAGCCAGGTCGTCGCCGTCAATATTCTTTCGCGTGGCTTTCGGGAGGCAGCACTGCATAGAACATAGAAATGATCAATTCTTGGCCTGTATCCTTTTTGTTGGCAGAGTCAGAGTTGCAGGTCTGTCAACATCGTGCTGCCTGGGACCGGAACAGTTCAATTGTTTCTGAGATTTCCGACAGGTTTTGCCGAACGAGCTTTGGCAAATGCGGAAGCTGAGTAACAGATCCGCATAGGTACGAAACAGTGTCGGGAGTGCTGGAAAATAGATCCTGGAATAGGATCTGCTAATTATATGGAAGGGATCCGTCTCGGGAAGGCATGCGTCCGCCCCCCAAACGATGTCAATGTGGCAAATCATGAGCCTTGCATCCCCACTCAGCAAAGTAAACAGCCTTGTGGTCTTCCGCATGTTGCAGGCAGACTTGAGGGCTTAAAGTGTGGTTGCGTGTGACATGATCGAAACAACGCATTGTCGTTGTCATGTGCTTTCTTCGTTCTCATTAGCATCTGTCCAACTGCCTATTGAATCACAGTAGTCCGCTTTCCCAATGACCACGTCTCCATTTCTTGCCCGCAGTATGCAGAAATAGTGAGGTCTGCGTCAATCAGAGTAGTTGACTCGTCGACCGATCCTGTTCTCCTGAGCTGTTTCGTGGTGGGACCTGAGCCGAAATGCCCAGCAGCTGACCCGTTTTGTGGGTTTCGTGAGGTTGAGTTAGGTCCTGTTGGGTTCAAGGTTGGGGGTTGTTAAGGCTTTACGTTTCGGGTGTTCATTTGGGCTTGGGGGTTGGGATCATTTAGGATTTCAGCTTTTATGTCGCTTCGTGTTTGAAAGCACGGATATGAAATTTATTATTGTGCTGCGTGAGAGGACCCTCTGAAGCTCGACAAGGCGCATGGCGAAGTGCCCAGGAAATGTTGACCCCCATTTTGAATTGTGCGACTGACAGGCCACAGGTCGCAAGTTTCTGCGGAGGCTACGACTCAGAGACCCGCTCGGCCCGCCGATGCTGAGAGATGCTGCAGTAAATCTGAGTTGTGGTCCACATGGCTGGAATGGTCAGCAGGCTATTTTGCCGAAGAGAGCCACCGCACGAAGAGAAGCTTTCCTAGCGGCCTGTTCGATGTCCAGGAGCTCGACATTGCCTCGGCCCAGGATTTTCGCTTTGCACTGAAGCTCGTCTGGAGCACCAGTAGCAAACCAGTGAGAATGACTCCCAAGGTGCTTATGGACCCGGAGCACGTTGAGCCCGTGCAAAGTGATACAGAGGCCTGACCATTCGTGCAAAGTTTGACTTCTTCATTGGCGTTTGTTCCAGGATATGCAAAGTCTTTGTAGAGCCATTCAGGATGAAACTTCACGGCCACAGACTCTCATACCAGATCCGTTGGATGAGGCTGCAGCACGATGAACATTCGTAGGGTAGCTGGTGCCCTGGTCTGGAAGGGATCTTGGGGTTCCTTCGTATGGCCCGCTGGAGACCATGACAGTATGCCTGTTGTTTTTTGTGCCCTCCGTTTCACTTCCAGTCTAGTTTCTAACCAGATCTTTTGGCAAAGATGTCATTCCATGATGTCGCTGGCATAGGTTCTGAAGCGCCTCAAGCTCTATTTCCCTCGAGTAACTGAGCTCATGATCTCAAACATCGAGGCTTGGCTTGTCACCAGTTTGAGCCACCACAGTTCAGTGGATGACCGCCAGGATTACCGCATGGACTATCGCTTTGTGGGCCTGAGAAGTAGCTTGCCCGCCTTTTTGCGGCCAACTCCGTGAAGGAGCCGGTAGAGTTTGCCCAGCATCCCTGTCTTGAGAGGCAGCCACCTTGCTGCGTTCGGCTTTGTTCAGCTGCAGGCCGGGTTTGTTTAGACTCTCAGGCTTGGTGATTTCACGTGTCTTTGCCCGGGAGCACAACTCCAACCCGGCGACTTACGAGCTGAAAGCTTCCCGGGATGATCCGTGAGCTTCCCACACATGCGGCAACAACTGCTGAGTGCAAGAACATCCCCGCTGACTGAGGCCAAGACTGGTGGACCTGAAGGTTCTCACCGAAATTCACAGAACACACATGATCAATTAAATCTGGCCTTTGGCTGCGCTTGGCCAGGCCATCAGGGGGGTGAACAGCTCTCGCATCCCGTGGGCTGCTGCTATCTCAGATACGTGTTGCCCTTCATGCCCTTCTGCTTTGCAGCGCACAGTGCAAGGTTCGGGTTGATGAAAACACGTCGATCTCTGAGCGAGAGGCCACTGTTGCTCTTTCTCTTGCAATGGTTTTCAGATGCAGCTGCCACGCTGGCAGTGCCGGTACAGGCCCTGTTCCTGCACGAACATTTGAGTGCCTACAAGGCAGGCTGAGTCGACGGCTGTGTCGTCTTCCTACACCCAAGTGACAGAATGGCAACGACTTCTTCCTGTCCCATGCGATCTATCGATCGGTGCCGTCGCACACGGTTCGCAAACGATACAAGGCCGCTTCAATTGGCGTGGCTTGACAAAGAACCTGCGGCTTCTTTGCAAGGCCATGGTGGCTTCTTTGAGCAAACGCTTTCCACAGCAGCAAGCTGCTGAGGGCGAGGGCTGACCCTCAAATCTGTTTAGTGTGGCTCGCATGCTTATGCTTGGCCCTAAGGTTCCAAAGACATTCAGTCTGAGCACTGGCTGAGAAGCTGCAGCCCTTTTCCCCCCTCAACTGCTAGCAGCCTAGCAGATCAGTCTCCTCTCAAGTATTCAGGCGAGCCGTGCTGCAATAGCAGGCTCACTCGAGAAGCCGCAACTTCCGAGTTTGAGCTTTAGTTTGTGTGCTACACTAACTTTACCTGCCAAAGCCACCAGGTCTCAGGCTCACGTGTCCAGAGCCAAGAGCAACAGCAGGTCATGATTTTTCTCACGAAGCAAATTCTTTGATGCTGCAGCGCAAGATTGGTCCAAAGAGGGCCGGCTGCGCTTGCAAGAGTATGTCAGTCAATTAGCAGCTGACGTGGTGAGTCTTGAGACATATTTGTAGGATTTGTAGGCTGGGTCAATTTGATTTTGATTGTCACGTCTAGCTGCTGGAATCCATCATGCCAAGTTGCAAAAGCAATTGAACGAGCAACTGTGACCAGCAAACGGATGATTTGCAGGGCGGGTACCGTCACTGAGCGATGTAGTCTCGCGATGTCCGATCACAGGGTGCGCACACACACAAACATAACATAATGCAAGCAAGTTGAGGCAGCGCCCGTATTTGCATGGCCCATGCCCCCAAGCAAGTTAAGTCCAACTCAGCATGTACATGCGTCGTCTCAAGGCAATTTGCGCTGTATTCTCAAGCAACAGTAAACTTAGCCACACGACAGCACATTCAGCCAACATGATGTCCGTCGACCAATGGGATTGGAAGACCTCGGCTCCCGAGTTCGTCCCAGGCATCTTTGCAGAAGGATGCGCCCAAGACAATAGAACTGGATATTTTCCAGCCGTTTGATGACCTCAATGAATTTCTGCTGGATGTTTTTTTTCTGGACAGCTTGACCGTAGGATTCTTGATCTCTGGAAGGCTTGGCCCGGCTGGGTTTCTGCAGCACCGTTCATGTAATAATTCCATCTGTATCTGTTTCTGTGTCTTCGCTCATTCAGATCATGTTATTTCCTGCTGCCGGTAGATTACAGTGAAATCATCAGGTGTGTAAGCCCAAATGCAGCCGGTCGCCCGCCGAAACTGAGAGTACCGAGTTTCCTGCACAACGGCATGCCCGGCCATGCAGTCACCCTCAAAATGTCTTCAAAAGGAGCCTCGCTGCAGCGCAAGGCAGTAATCCAAAACCAAGCGGTTCAGTGAAGCGCATGCAGCAATGCCCCTCTGGGTATCTGCACATCGTCCTGTCGTCAAATCGTGTTAAATTCATGTCTTTTTTTGCTGGAGTTGCTGTTGCTGTTGCTGTTGTTTTGCTGTAGCTGCTGGTGGCCTGCTGTTGCGTTGGAGTTTGTCGATGCTGTCTCGACTCAGGAGTTCTGCATGGAATGACGGGTCCACTGGTGGGTACTTGGGTTGCCCATGGGAGCACACAAGCAGAAGGACACGGAGCCAACATGAGCCCCATGGCAGCAGAGGGGATGCGCAGGATGCACCTTGCTGAGGAGAGCGAATGCTTTTCAGGTGACGTGCCTCGAACTCCGATGTGTGCAGCTCCTGGGGGGCCTGTGATGGGCTTCGTGGGCTGCCTCTCGGACTTTGGAGGCAACGCTCTGAGCGTAACAGAGCCGATGGGTGACGGTCCTATATGTGTTTGTTCCTGTTTTTGGGCAAGGTTCCTGCAACGGCTCAAGCTGGCCTTGTCAGCCTTGCCAGGCTGAATGCTTTGGTCTTGAACCCGTCCGAATGTAAAACAAATCTGGCAGGGAAGTGGCGGGATGCAGCAGCCCCAGCAGCCCTAACAGCTAAGCTTTACACTTGGTGAAGCTCTCAGCACGTCTGAGCTCTTTGGAGGTCCATGCTTGCTCCAGGTCGGGGCCCTCAGAAAGCCAGAGTGAAGCACATGTCCAGAAAGCTCACTGCAGAATTGGTTTTTGATATCGTTACTCAGACCTAGACCGGAATGAAAGCCAATTTTTAGGTAGACACCTCACACCTTGCTCCATGGACGCATGGGGAAGAAGATGTGGAATCCGAGCAAGATCTTCTCTGGAGAAGCTTTCTTCTTTGGATCGATCTCTAGGATCGCCATCAGGGGCTTGGGCTCAAGCCCTCCCAGCTGAGGTCCTTGCCAGGTGATGGAGGCGCCAGCCATTTAGTTTTCTTCCTGACTTTTGATAGTCTTTGTTCGCAGTTCGCCGGGCCTTACTCTCAGCAGCATGATGCGTATGACGCGTACTGCCCTCAGTGACAAGCTGATTTGCATCGTTCTTGGTCTCGGAGCCTTGCCAGGGATCCCAGCAGCCACTGTAGCCCTCCTGAAGAGGCACAGCTCGTGGTGATTTCAGAACGTATTGCACGTCGAGGGAATTGAGCGACAACGCGCCAAACCATGTTGCCTTCATCGAATGCGCCGCATGTTCCTTTTTTGTTGTTGCTCTTGTTGGATTTACGACAAGCAAGAACAGTTTTTCAAATGTTTACGTGCTGATCCCGAATTCGCAAAGCAAGATTCTCGTGCTACAGCAAGCTTAGACGAGCTAAGCGTACGATCGCAAGTTATTTGGACCAGATTTTCAACATGGAGGTTGAGGCCGGTTTGGGAGTATGGCTTCAGCACTAGAGCTTTTCTTGTCAATATCGTGATTCACTTTTTGGGGCCGCCGTGCGGCTCCCTTTCAAAAAGCCAGAAAATGCAGCCCAAACCGTTTGACGATGTTCCAAAAGGAGTTGTGGAATGCGGATGCATCTCAGCTTTCACGCACTGAATCAATGCCCGGGCCAACGTGTCTTTCCTCTCGACGTCTCCACGCAAGTTATCGACAAGTACCTGGTCCAAATTGAAAGGAGGCAAAAGCAGAACAATTTGTTCGATAAGCCAAAGGCAAAATGCTTTCTGTTGTCATCATATGACGAGCACATGCAGCAGCAGTTTAGACTCAACGAGACAACGCTGCCGGGGAGAAGCTTTCAGAGAACAGGGGTGCATCATGGTGTGGGATTTCGGCAACATGTTGTATGTGCAGCATGTGGAGCTAGTACTATTCGAAGGGTGCAGCACTGGCTTACAACAACCACGGGCAAGGGAAGAACGGCAGCACAGCTTGAGCATGCGAAATCCGGATGGAGTGCGTCACATACAAAGTCGAACCCCAGCTTGCAAGGGTTGAGCTGTCAAACTTGCACAGGCAGCATTGTCTGGCACGAGAGCATGTGAACCATGCGATCACCGGAGGCATGACCATGCGCAGTGAGACCCGAACTGCAGGGAGCGGAGAGCTGTTGAACTCAACAGCAGCTTTGCAGCTTTGCAGCACTTTTGCAAAGCTGCTTTGCAAAGCATCCAAAAGGGAAATCGGAATGTTTGACGGAGAACCAGGTCACACAAGTAAGGCACTCTTCGGTAGGCGGGTAGCCTTTAAAAGAGGAAGAGCAAAACGCTCTCGTTGAGATCCAGCACCCCAACAACATTGGGGCGAATGCTGGAAGTGTGAGCATACCTTAGTAAGCGGCAGAAAGAATAAGTCACGAAAGCTTGTGGAGCTAGGCTTGAGTTTAGTCTTGCTTTAGTAGTAGTGGCTGTCACGGTCTGGAAAACGACGGATCGTGGGATATATCACAGGATTGGGGGGGAGGGGGTGAAATAACTTCAGTCCTGTTGCTTTGCTATCAGTCCATTTACAGTTCATGTAACACAACTGCATTGCATGTTGCTGTTGCCGCTCTCAAGGTTCTAGGGAGATAATACTCGAGTGCGCGTAGTGAGAGTGGAAAAGGACAGCTCGCCTGTCTACGGTACACTTAGTGAGGTAGTTCACGCTCGGGCCAATCTCAACGTGGTAGCGGAGCTCTCTCCAGGGAGGCTCAGACCACTCTGAGGTTCCCAGTGTATCCCCGGGAGGCGCTGACCACTCGGCGGTAACCTGAGTGCCCCGCGCAAAGGGCTTCGAAGGAGAGAGCTCCCGCCTTAGAAACCATGGCAGATGATTTTTACACAGACATGCGTGACGAAGACCTCTACGATGAGGCACATACCGCGCAAGCGATGTGTGAAACCATCAGCATACATGGCCAGAGTTGATGTGTAGAAAGCTTGATTGTGCAAACCAGTCGGTGGTAGCGAACCAGGGCATGAGCATGACCCTACTCGATCTGCAGGCGCCTTGAGTCACTAGCAGAGAAAAGAGCCCCTTTGCTTGCTGCGCATAGTCCCGCTACGCATGGTAGCGGAGCCCTCGGTTCTGACCTTGGGCTCCTTTGGCTTCTTCGTAGGCTCGGCGGACGCGTCGACTACTCCGAGGAAGAGCTTCGCGACCTCCGCGACTTTGCGTCGATCCTGCCCTCCGGGAAGGTGATTCGCGACCTGTCTTACAGCAACAACCTGAACTACCTGATCTCTGGCGCTGGCCTGCCGGCCTTGTTTTGAACCAGTCAAGTGGGGACTGGAAGTAGCTTGCCTGACTTTAGGCAAGAGATTTTGGACGAGTCCGTGACAGAGTACTCTCGGAAATGGCTACGGACCTGGAACGACCTCGCCGACTTGGCGTTTGCAGCTGCGTTCTCCAGCGGCACCTTCTACACCACCTTATGGGCAAGGTGGCTTGGATGGCTCTGAGGGCCAATCGGCGAGGAAGTTCGTCGACTACAAGATGGATCCAGCACCTGGCTGGAACGGAGAGCATCCGGAGAATGAGTACTGAGAATATGCTCGGAACCTCAAGCTGTGGCTTATCGAGGCGGAGGCCAGGCTTCCTCCGAATCTCATAGGCAAGCGCATCTTGCATGCCATTCCTTTTGGAAGCTGGCTGGCGGCCTCCCTTGCACACCTGAGCGTGGATGACATCACGGCTCCGGATGGCTACAAGCAGATCATCGCAGTCATAGAGGAGACCCGCGCCTACTTGAAGGAGGCCCGGCTGGAGCAGGCCTTCGATGCGGCGATCTTCCGTGGCCGGGCGACCTGGGCAGACACTGACAGGAGCTTTCGCGGAGCTGAAGAGGCGGGGGTCACGGATGTCTGGAACCACCTCCTTGGACACCTGCTGCTCAAGCAAGGCGGGTTCACCTTGGACCAACAGCAGCGCGTTCGAGTGCTGACCGACGGTAGCATCGACTTCCGGAAGATCGAGCTGGCCATTCGGAAGATGTTCGGCGACTCACTGGACGACACTGACACCCAAGCACTGGGAGTCTGCCTGGAACGACGACGAGGACGATGGCCAGGACGACTACGAGAGCTACTTTGGCGGCAACGACTACGACGGCGACGCCGCCCAGGACACGACCGTCTTCGAGAACCTCCTCGACTTCGACTCCAACACCGGCGAGGTCTACATGATCGTGGATGACCTGCCCCCGGAGTTCCTGGAGGAGACGGAAGCCATCGAGTACGCAGGCGAGTACCTGAGCTGGGTTTTCTTCGAGACCCGCGACCGAATCAAGGGGAAAGGCAAGGGCAAGAGCGGCAAGCGTGGCAAGAGCAAGAGCTTTGGCAAAGGAAAGGGCCACAAAGGCGGCTTTGGGAAGAAGCCTGTGCCCCCTGGCACTTTCGGCGTCTACGGCTCCTACATGGATCACCGACGTGCTCTACAAGATGCTCGGAAAGGCATGAGGCTTTGACCGGCAGATCGACCAGCGGCCCCGGATGTCCCTCGAGCAGCTACAGGCAAAGTCACGATGCCATACTTGTCGGCAAGTTGGGCATTGGTCCCGGAACTGCCCTCTGAAGGGGCGACAGCGAGAGGCCAATCGCCCACCAAGTGGAGCAAGCCAGTCCACCGGACATCGGCCAACAACGGCCATGTTCTTTGTTGAACCCTCGGCTACCGCCTCAGGGTATTTCACCATGAGCGCACCCAGCCCGACAACAGAGCAACGCATGAGTGGAAGCCAGGTTGACACGTCAAGTCTTACTTATTGCAGTTGTTTGTGCGTCAGCTCTTCCAGCCAACCGCCCAACAAAATGACATCCTGGGACCTTCTGTCCTACAACTTCGCCGCTGCAACCGAGACTCCAGGGAGGGCACTGGTAAACACGTAACAAACATGTCGATTGTACGTGTGAGCCCAATGTAAATACATGTTTCGCATCGCTGCGCTAGGCTCAAACCCACCAGCAGACCGAAGCTGCAGCGCGTAAAAAAGACCGACCGCTGTAGTTAGGTTGAGTTGTGTGTTAGGAGTGTAGAGTGGACCTTAAGATTTGGTCTAAAACTTTCATCGTAGCGGAGCTGTTGGCAACGGCCAGCAGCTGAAGAAGCTAAGATCCAGGAAGAGATTGAGAAGCGACTGGTTAAGGCTTGCCGAAAGCATTTCGC